CTCCGACGAAACAGTTTGTCACAGCCCCTCGTTTGTTGTCCTCTTCTCTCTCTCTGCCTACGGTTTACCGGGCAGTTCTGTTTGTGACAATATATGACGATATATATATATATATATGTATATCAGTCAAACAGAGCTGCTCGGTAAACTGTAGGCAGAGAGGGAGAAGAGGACAACAGACAAGGGGCTGTGACAAACTGTTTCGTCGGAGTTTGAACTTGATGGGTCTCATGAGACTTATGGGTCTCGAATTCTGAATTTGAATGCAACAGTTATTTATCGAAAAAGATGCAGATTTGTCAAGACCATCCAAATTTTGTATTGTGATTTTGTGATACAAACAAATTTTGTATTGCAATTTTTTGTAGTACAAACAAGATTCGTTTTTCAAATGAGGTGCATGGAATACATACACGTATTTTTTGTAAAACAGACAAAACCTGTATTTTTTGCAAGTTTTATTTGCACTGATGATGGCTCAGAGCGTACATGGCCACATAGTCGGAGCGCGACGAATTTCACAAAATACATATCTATCTATCTATCTATATATAATATATATATATATATATACAGGTCGAGCGGCAGTGGCCAGGGCCATCACAACGCGGCCATGTTGTGCCTTGAGTGCCAGCGGCGTGTGTGGAGTGGATTTTTTGGCTGTGACAGACCTATCTTTGTTCCGTGGGTGTTTTGCTGGCTTGTGATGGGGTGTGAACCGACAGTCTGTAGAGTTTCCCATCTGGTGTGGGTGAGTAGTCTGCTTTGATTTTCGTCACAGGTACCGTGAGGGCAGTGGTTGGTGCCCACCTCAAGGTATCAGTTGTTGGGCAGCTGTTGATGCTTAATCACAACCGGGGTTAAGGTGGGTTATCACTTACAGTGTAATCAGTTAGGGGATTCTGCAGACTGTTTGAGGGTTCAGCCTCCTGTTTCGTCGGAGTTTATCAGTTGTCGGGCAGTTGTTGATTGTAAACCACAACCGGGGTTGAGGTGGATTATCACTTACAGTGTGATCAGTTAGGGGATTGTGCAGACTGTTGAGGGTTCAGCCTCCTGATTGATGAGTCGGTGAAACTCCGACGACGAAACAGTTTGCCACAGCCCCTCGTTTGTTGTCCTCTTCTCCCTCTCTGCCTACAGTTTACTGGGCAGCTCTGTTTGACGATATATATACATATATATACAGAGCTCTGTTTGACGATATATAAGGTAGATGAAGGCACAACCATAAAAAGATTTCAACGTAGAGCTCAAGGACGAGCATATTCTATATATAAACCGACTTGTCATATTACAATTGTTATGAAATCAAGACTTTTAAAGTATTATATACTATATAGTTTCATTTCTCTGCCTACGGTTTACCGGGCAGTTCTGTTTGTGACGATATATACTACGACTTCGCTAGCTTCCTGCTACAGTTTTTTCCGGTCAGGTCGAGCGGCAGTGGTCGGGGCCGTTACTAGGCGGCCATGCTGTGCCTCTAGTGCCAGCGGCATGTCTGGAGTGTATTTTTTGGCTGTGACAGACCTTTCTTTGTTTCGTGGATGTTTTGCTGGCTTGTGATG